CAAGCATATCAGCCTCTTAGGCACAGCCATCAGCAATGGGTACAGGTTTTGGGGATGTTACTTGAGTTATCAGAGGAAAACACCTCTGAAAACACCTCAGCTGCTGTAACAGAAAGAGCAACATCCTGCACCCAGGATTTTCAGGGCTAAAATGGCAAGCCTCCTCCATCCTTGCTAGCACAAATAGGCACCCCTCATACTTCCTCCTTTTTTATCAGTGGACAGATGCTTCATCTCCAGATCAATGGGCTGGTGATTCTTTTACCAACATAAAAAAGATGCAGGAATTTACCGGTTCAAAGACTTTACTTTCTCAAATTTATCAAATTCCTTGAATCCTTGAGCTGTTAACTGAATAACTGGTACCTGTCTGTTCTAACATACAAGCATCAAGAGTCAAAATCATAAGAGTGTCTAGCCCTACAAAGTATTTTAAAATGAGATGAAAATCTATGCATGGCATATATCACTTCCGCACATAACTGCTGGAATTTCACGATGTACAATAACAAATGTTAAACGTTATCATTCAATCTAATGGATACAGTCTTCAAACCTAAGGATTTACATACATCACTATATTTAATGTTAATGGCAATCATAAACATAAATCTTTTGAATATTGAGAAGGATTAGACTGTTAAAATGACCAACTGCACTCCCTAAACAATCACTAGTACTTAGTGCACTACAATCACATTAGTACTAGTCAAACAATCACAGTGTGGTCTGCTGACACTTAAAATATTTGGAAAGCAACAGGTAAAATAGGCCTATTTTACACTAACTATAACTGGATAAACTATACGCTTCTAAATCAAGACCTACAAAATGAACACAGTACAGAGGAGTCCAAGGATAAACACATGAAATTGTCAAATTTCACACTTTCCACACACTTTCCATCAACCTTCCCTTCACTGCTTTGAAAATCTCATTCAATCTCTGTTATTTAGAGGTTTTTGTGGTTGTTTATCTGTATGCTTCTAGGTACCAAAACCTTCCACTTATTCTAAATGTTGAAACAAAATTATCCTGCAATGGTAGTTTCTCAGAAACACATTTTCAAAGCAGCACGAAGGTTTCACTGTGTGACACATATTAACATCAATTGGACTCACACAGCTAAATCTCACTGCAAATCATTGTCAATTTACCCCTTCCAGAATTTAATATTTTTGAATTTGTTTTATTTTACAAACATTTTCATCTTACAATGTTTTATGGTAGTGTTTCATACACTAGCACAGGCATAATCTCTTGTAGCTGCTTTAATTTTCTAGTACAGACAAGGCCAACATTTCAGACTTCTAGTGGCACCAGTAAGAACTATGGCTGTAATCCAAAGAATTCATATATCTTTATGATGTATTTTCCCAATGTATACATAAATCCTAATAGTCTTAACGACAGATTTATGCACAAACAGATACACATACACTTCTGACTTCTTTGCTTGACAATATTGGCAATGGTATATGACAATGCTTCAGAGTCAGGAAGAGCAAAACAGTGAAGGATCAAGGGCAGCGGGGGTGGTGGGCAAGATTCAGCCCTCCTTACACAAAATTCCCTTGACTTTCACAAGCAGAATCCACCTGAAGGGATTCGACAGAACCATGAGACTAACAGCTTTTCCTGAACTTGTACCATTTAGCCTTCCATCTCAATGATTTTTTGCAGAATCTTGTATTACACATAATGATATGGATTCACATCTTTGAATGAAGTTATCATTAAATGATAGAAGACTAACTGCAGACTGTCCTTGGGATTACTGAATTCAGCATTTAAATGTGCTTATTATAGAAAAGTAAAAGCTGTCAGTCAAAAATAAACAATTTCATGGATCAAAACATAACTGAAAACTGGTATTATTGCCATTTTTATGTCAAAATCCTTTGACAAACAGCACTGAAAATTACAAACAAATCCCCTTGCGGTTAATACACTTAATGGGTTAACATTAGAGAAAAGGTATTTTATTGACTGTCATACAATAACTGTTGTTCTCTTCACTTTTGCCTAGGCCACCTGTTCATATGTTGCTAGGATGAATAGAGCAAAAGTTAGAGAAGACAAAAGTTTCAAAGAGTTAAAAAACTGTGCTTTGAGAACACTAAACAATGTACTTTTCTTTAGAATAAGAACCACATCTTATTTATGAACATGTCTTCAGGGAATTGGCTTTTATATTTCACATCTTATACGAAAGAGAATCTACATAGTACATGCATGCTGTAAAAGGTGTTGCCAATCGTGTTTAATAACATATCTCTTTCTCAGGTGATATCTAAAGGCTAATCCCAAGGTTAAGCCTGAACTGTTCCCAGGCCCTTTTCTGATATGACCAGAACATGACTAAAGTGAACAACTTCCTTTTCTAAAATACGTGCCCATCTGTCTGCTTTTTTAAAGTTTTTTCTCAAGACATATAAATCATCAGTACTTCTGAAATTCTACAAATTAGCACTATAACTGCTTTGCATTTTGTAAGACTTAATCTAAATGTTATCCACAAGCACTAATATTTCTTTCAAACTGTCATAAATAGATGCAAGGTAAAATAAAACTCACTTAATGACAGTGATGTCCAGGGATGCAGTTTTGCTGCATGTGCTTTATACTCGTGACCCCTAAGATGTTAGAAAAAGCTCTAAAACTGCCTGTGGCAACAACATGTACATACATAAACTGAACACTGTAACCACTGAGATCATGGAAAGTACCTGAGCTTTAAGTTCATGTGTTGTGGTTTAGGAATAGTTTTTCCTAATTTAGTACTCCCACTGAGACTCTCCAAACCACTCAGCCACTCGCTTGATCCCCCTCTCCCTGCAGGTAGCTGGAGAGGAGAATTTGAGGCACAAAAGGCAAAGATCATGGTTTGGGATAAGAACACTTTACTGGAAACAGCAATGAGATAAGAAAACAAACTAACAGCAACAATATTAATAACAAAACTGTACAAAAGAGAGAGTGATTCACGTGCAAAATGCTCATTGAGCCCAACCCCACGTGACCACAGCCAGGTTCCCTCCGGCTTGGAACTTGGGCCATAGTATCACGACCAGAAGGAACTCCTTCTCCCCAGAAGAGAGTCTCTTTCCCTCACTCCTGGCAACGGACATGAGGTGCTATAGGCAATGACATGAGTTGGTACAGAATAACCTCCAGATTCTAGCCATGCCCCCTACCGGCTCCTGCAAAAAATTTACCCTGTCCTGGTCAGAACCAGAACATCATCTCTACTAGATTACTTGGATTCTTGGATATAAAGAAAGACTTCTATTTTTAAACGAAAATAAATTAAAATTACAAAGTTTTGCAAAACACACATTTATCAACACCTGAAAAACACAGATTTGACCGTGGAACATTACTATAAAACAGGTAAGTTCAGTAGAAAGAGCTATGCGTTGAAGTAATTTTTGAAAGTTGTTATATCATCTGATAGGCCTTTTATAAAACACGAATCTTTTTCTGAAAGACTTTTTATGCATTTCTCTGCAGATTATGGTGTCTATTCGCACTTTACTTCAATTTTTATAGCCTACCAGTAGTTCTACAGAACAGTAAATACAGTTATTATAACCCCTATAACACGCAGAGAGTTATATTTGAAGAAATAGGGTTTGTTTCCCCTCCTGCATGCACTGAAGTAAATCAGGAGCAACTCTTCTGCAGTCATTAGGACAAAACTTATGCAAAACAAGAAATAAAAAATACCAGAAATGTATAAAGAACACTTTCCTCACACTAAAAGTACAAATCGCATGCCTCCTCTGCTTTTTGGCAGCTTGTGCCATTGAGGTACTTATACCATCACGCTAAAACACATCTGAATAAGATCCAGGCTCGCACTGCAAACAATGGAGACACATCAGTTTGCACAGGCTAAGAACCTGGCACAAAGCCTTGAAAATGAACGAGGATCTTCAAATAAATGCAATATGTACAATTATTTCTCATGTAAACAGAAGCTATTTCAATGTGGTCTGACAGACAACTAGAAAGATCAGGAAAAGGATGATGAAAACAAAGCAAACAAACAAAAAATCCCCACTAACTGCATCACACTTTTATTCTTTACAGACACAGACGCACAAGGAACAACACTAATTTTAAGAGAGATCATGTGGCAAAATGATGACTCTGAGTCACTAGAAAAGAGAAAAATCTTTTAAAACACTCTTGGGACTGGTAACTACTCCTAAAGGAAGAGCATTATTTCATCATCCAGCTAAGGAGCCAGAGGAATGATTACTGTTGTTTGGCGGCGATTTGTCTCAACAACTCTCTTCTCTAAAATAAATATGTCAACTTCACTAAACAAAGAGAAGAAGCTGCACCTTTCTGTTGTTTCGATTGCACACTGAGGAATATTTAATCAGAAGAAAGGGATCCCAAGAAAAGTCACAGGAGAGGGCTGGCAGATACCGTTTTTACAAAGGTTAAGAAAAACAGAAAAAGAAAGAGGCGGCGATGCCAGTCCCCGCACCTCGCCAACGCGCCGGCAGCGCCCGGCAGTGTTCAGCCCCGTTGCTGCCCCGCGGGCACCGGCTGCCGCCCATGCGGGGGCACCGTCCGCCTCGCTATTCCCCTCGGCCTCTGCTTTGAGCAGACGGGGGAAGCCCCTGCTCGGCACCAGCGGGGAGCGACACCGCCTCGAAGCGACACCAGGGCGGGGAAGCCGCTTTCCCTCCGGCAGGGAGCCCTGACAGCCACCCGGGCTGGGGCGCCGCGGCACCGGCCGGGCTCGCCGCTCCCTCCCCTGCCCGGGCCGCGGGGCCGCTCTCGCCCCACACCGCCTCGCACCGCAAAACTTACGGGCCGGGGCTCGGGGCGCGGAGCGGGCGCGCCGTCGGGGCGGCGGGCACGGACAGCTCCGCGGGCAGGGCAGCGCCGCTCCGCGCCCCCGGCGGCCGCGCCCGGGGCGGGGGACAGAGCGCCCGTCCCCTCCCGCCCCCCGCGAAGCCAGGGTGCGCCCCGGCACTCACCAGCTGCAGCGAGCAGAGGAAGATCAGCGTGCAGCGCCCCGTGCAGCAGCCCATGGTGGCAGCCGGAGAGCCGCCGCCGCTGCTCCTCTTCTTCCCTCCCGCGCTGACGCGGCCCCGGAGGCGAGGCGGGGGGCTCACCGCATCCGGACGGAGCGGCCGGGCGTGCGTGTGTCCCCCGCCTCCCGCTGCCTCCCTCCTTTGTGGAGGGGCTTCTCAGCGGCGGGAAGTAGCGCGCCGAGGTCGGCACGGCCCCGGGGATGGGAGCTGGCGGCAGCAGAGGGCTCTGCCCGGGTCTGGCTCTAGGGAAGGGGCAGGGGCTGGGGGTGGGCGTGTGCGGACCCGGGCGGGGGTGGGCAGAGGGAACGCGAGCGGGGAGGCGGGGGGCGTGCGGGGGAAGGCGGGGGGCGGGCGGGCGAGCGAGCGAGCGCGGACTGTGCGAGGTGTGAACGGGAGAGGAGCGGGGGCGGCGGCGGGCTCTCCTCAGGCGCCGTGGCGGGGGTCCCCGGGCGGGTAGTTTGCAGGGATTTCGGAGGCTCCGAGGGCAGGCGGTGTAGGGATTTCGGAGGCTCCTAGGGCAGGCGGTGTAGGGATTTCGGAGGCTCCTAGGGCAGGCTGTGCTTGAAGGGGACTTGGCGGGAGGGTGGCTCTCCGGTGGTCTGCGCGGAGAGCGGCGGCCAGGGCAGCCCGGCGCGGGCCGCTTGTTGCGAGTGCCCAGGGAAAGTTCAGGGGACTTGGCCGGCCGGAGCGGGGAGGGCGGGGAGCGGCGGCCGCCGAGCGGCGGGGCGGGACCGAGCCTGGAGCAACCCCCGGGCGCCGGCCGCGGGCCATTGTTCGCCGGCCGCGCTGTGCCGCGGACGGAGGGCGCTCCCTTAGCGGGGGAAGCAGTCGGGACGCTGGTCCTCAGGGAGTCCCACTGGCAGAAGCTCTAGCACACCGCGGGTGACGGGAGGTATCAGGGAACCCTCTTCCCCTCCCGGTCCCCCGGCGGTGAGTGCCTGAGTGCCGGAGGGTGGCACTCAGGCTGTTTGATCCCCTCCCCGGTCGCGGACCGGCGGTGCTGGGGGAAGGGGTTTCCCTCCCTGGCAAGGCCATTGTGCCAGGAAAGCCCGCCGGCTCCTGCTGTTCCTCGCGGGTGTGAACTGGGAATGGGCTCCGGGGAGAGGGACTCGGCCCTGGCAGTCGCCGCTCCGGGCAATGGTAAATCGTGGAGTCTTTCAGGTTGGAAAAGACCTTTAAGATGATCAAGTCCAACACTGCCAGATCTACCGTGTACAAGAAGACAGATGAACAAAGAGTGCTCTCTATGGGCCCCTCCGTGGGCAGCTGAGAGAAACAGGATCAGTGGAGATAATGCCATCCCTACATCATTATATGCACTTTGGTCATAGACAAGTAATGTTTTAGGGAGGGATAATAAATACAAATATACACACTGTCTCAACAATATTTGTATACATGGATGAGGTGTCAACGACCTTTTTTTTTTGGGCCAACAAAGTATATAAAAATGAGATTTTTTTTTACAAGCATATTCCACTCACCAGACAGCACTTTTCCTACAGCCTGTTCCACAATATACAAACTTCTGCTAGAAAACACTGAAGCTTGTCCTGAGGAAAAAAAACCAAAAGAACCTTACCTTCTGCAAGGCATTTTAGTGAGATATCTGATTAATGTCGCTGTGAAATACAGAGTATTGCATCCCCAAACTACATACAGATCTTCATTTATGCATTAAATGGTAGTGACAGTAGTCTAATAATTACAAAGCTACTGCAAAACAGTATTGTGTCAGATAAGATTTGGAAAGCTGTTTTTTCTACCACCTTTCTTTTAAGTAGGAAAACATTAAGATCGTTTTATATACCAAACTGAAGGAACAAAAGAAAGACAAGTAAGAAGCAGATTCTACTCACCCAGGATATGTATTTGACTATGTATGTATGCAAAGAGCACAAAATATAATCTACATTACACATTATACAAAACTTTAATAAAGCTACCTGAGATTTATATTTCTATGTATGGCTTTTAAGTTAAAATTCTACCTGGGGCTAAAACTTTACTAAAGGCACATGTTCTGAGAACATGCGTATTTTGACAGATGAATACTTGAAGATATGAAAGTAAATTGAAAAGGTGATAGTTGCCAAAATACATTGTGCCAGCCTAAGCTGGTAAATTTTACAGATAATTGATTCTATACAGAGGACTTTAGGGCAGCCATCATCTTCCTGGACTTGACTGAAGTATTTAATAAACTACAAGATCTTTTTAGTTAAACCCAATAATACAGAGATTAATAATAAGAATTGCAGGGTGGGTATGGAACCAGATAAATGAAATTACAAGAGCTAGTGATGAAGAGATTTTAGTTGTGCTCACCGTATTCAGCCCCTACTTGTACACCAGTGGGATGAGGCCAAAACTCTTTCCCCTCGATTTCTCTCCAAGCATAGCACTTTTCCAAGAAGTAGCTAAATCCTATGGGATAAGGAGCAGAGGGAAGGGACACAGCTCAGACAGTCGACTGCAACTGATCACAGGGATATTCCATACCATCATTCTCAGCATATAGTGCTGGGGGAAGAAGGGAGAGTGGAATGTTCAGGGTGATGGTGTTTGCCTTCCCAAGTCACTGTTACGCATGATGAAGCCCAGCTTTCCTGACGATATCTCAACACCTGTCTGGCCATGGGAAACGGTGGATGAATTCCTTGTTTTGCTTTGGCTTTTACTTTCCCTATTAAACTGTCTTTATCTCAACCCACGAGTTTTCGCACTCTTACCCTCTGATTCTCTTCCCCACCACATGGGGTAAGGAAGGTGGGAGTGAGTGTCTGCATAAGGCTGAGTTGTATCTGGGGTTAAACCACAACAACTGAGAGAAGTTTCATAGATGTCTATGAATTCTCTACCATTTTTCTGTTTGCTTTCTCCTATTTCTGAAGCATTTTGCTATTTATGTCCTCTATCTAGCCAAAACTGATCCCTGCCCCCCCAGCCAAAAAAAAGGACAGTTGTGTAAAGCAGAATTATTCCTGAGTATAAGGTGCCACAAAGAAAACTAATGTGTTACCTGGTTTGGGAAGCATTAAAAAAAAAGTTAATTAACAAGAGATTACTTCCCTGGGAAGAACTAAACTATTAGAATAACCTTGCCTTACAGCTGAAAGCACTGGGCATAGGAGAGACACAGAAGAAAGAACCTGAGTCAGAAGGAGGTTAGAAATGAAGTATGGTTATAAGAAGGCATAGAATTTCTAGAACATATCAGAGAATGCAATATAAGAATAAAATAATGTACAAAGCAAAGAGGAAGGACTGTACAGATTTCTCTACACATGAATTGAATAGAGAAGCTGATAGTTAAATAACCATAAAAAATAATTGCCAGCTTTATAATAAAGACAGCTCTAATTCAGCACTGTACATGCCAAGTAGATTAAAAAAGTGGTGTAAGCTCTAAAAAGTCCTGTGGATTATTTTAACACTTAACAAGGTATGCTGTACAGATGCAAATTTAGTGCACTTGAGAAAAACCAGGTCCTCAAAAGCTTTATGTGACATCCATGTACACATGGCCATATCCTGACAAAACTGTAGGTTTCCTTATCGTAAACCATTAGAGCTTGTGCTTTTAATTTCATTGCATTAAAAGCTTGTGCTTTTAATTTCATTACATTCACAGCAGAAAACAAAAGTTGTTCACATTTGTAGAAATATAGCATCACAGATATCTATAAGGGATATAACAGCTGTGCTGTAGAGACTTCTAATTCCTATAGGTTTATTCCTTGATAGGTTATATTCTCCAGAATAAAAGATATGAAAATTTTCGAGCTTAAGAACTAAAACCATAAGTAAAATATCTCATATCAAGAGGACAAAGTGAAATTAATAATATTTGACTGTCTTTGTAGCTCTTTAATGGCACATACTATTTGTCTAATAATCCATTAATTTGTCTGCTTCTGCTGGAGTTTTGCTCAGCCTGCACCAAACTTGTCTGGTCATGGAGGTTCCTGAGGAGGAAATTCAGAGGAAATTACTGATGAAAATAAGTGAGAGTCTTAAAGGATAACCCTAATCTTGGAAAGATTTGTGTATTTACTTAATTTTAAACACTGAAAGTAGCCCTTGATACTGCATAGAGATTAGGTAAACACATTCAGGGTCTGCAGAATCAGAGCTTAAGAAGATTCCCGTGGCCTCACATTTCACCTTTAATTTCGGCATTTAATGCAGAAAGGCTGAGAATCAGAAGCTTTGTAATTACTTTTAAAGCTTTCCCAGAATGAGGGAGGATACATGGATCAAAATGCACCTCCATAAAGCTCTCAACAGGTCACACTTCAGGCAGACATATAGTTGTGACAGCTTAGAAAAACATTCCACTGTGTATTCCCCAAACGATCTTGAAATACCTCAAGCAGACTAGAAACCCCATGAAATTTAATATAGCTTTAAAGACAAATAAGGGTTTCAAGATATTATCAGTGTTTTTAGTAAATCCTATTTTCAATTTATCCTTCTGAAGGCAGATACACAATATAATGATCTAATTTTTCATTTCGATGTTAACACCTGCTGCTAGGAAACTATATTCTTCATTAAAATGCAAGTACTTTATGAAACAGAAATATATGTTCATTGTGAATGACTATTTTCATTTTTAAAATAGTGTTTTAAATTATCAGGCTCAAAGTGGGGAACCAGGGTGAGGCACAGCCTCTCAGTGGCTGGCAGCTCCTTGGGGACAGGGATGGGGACCGGTCAGGGTCAGAACAAGATATCAGCCCACAGGCTGAGCTCCTGTCTGGGGAGGCAAGGCTACGGGGAGCTGTAGACTGGCCCTGATGAGACATCACTGGGGCGGGGACTGATGGTCTTTGTGGGGCTGAGATGGGGTCTTGGGCTGTGGGCAGGGTTGGGGGAGCCCCGAGGGATGGGCAGGGACAGGCAAGGCTAGTGGCACCCTTAGGGTTCTGACAATATGAAAGCAGTTTTGAAAACATGAGTATCTTAAGTGCAGAGACCGACTCCCTGTAACTCATTCTGGTTTGTCAGCAGTAGACAGACTCCAGCTCAGATTTGGGTTTGGTTTTTCTGCCTTTAGCTCTTCTTTCATTTTTTTTTTTCATTTTTGGTATAATGCTTACTACCACATCCCTAGAACAGCAAGACTAGAATAAAGCACAAGATGTTTGCAACTGTCTCTCATATTAATTGCAGGAAAAAAAATCCGATAAATTATAAAGTCAATAAGTGATTAATT